AAGAGCTGCTGCTGGTGGATCTGTTGCTGCTGCGCTTGCTGTTGCTGCGGCAGGCGCTGTTGTTTGAGTATGTCTTGCTGTTGTTGCAGTTGGGTCTGTCTACGTTGTTGCTGTTGCTGCTGTTGCACCTGCTGCTGCTGCTGCTGCAGCTGTTGCTGTTGCTGCTGCTGCTGCTGCTGCTGCTGCGACGAGTCTTCAGTGATGCGTATTTGGTCTCCATCTGATATGTGCCCCTCAAAGTACTCCCCCCCCATCCTCTGGCTGCGTGCTGCTCTGCGTTGCTGTCTGCTGGCGCCTCGTGCGGTGGCAGCAGCAGCAGCAGCAGCAGCAGCAGGTGCAGCAGCGGGAGCAGCAGGAGCTGTCGGAGCTGCGGCAGCGGGTAGGTTTCCAGTTGCAGGTGTAGCAGCAGCAGCCGCCGCAGCAGCAGCAGCAGCTGCTGCTGCTGCTGCTTGCGCCCTTGCTGCAGCAGCACCTCCCCTGCCCCCATAACCACCCCGCCCCCTACCCCTGCCTCTGCCTGCTGCTGCCCCCAGCGAACCATCGGCCTTGAGAGCCCGCTGCAGCGCAGCCTGTGCTTCTCTCCCATCGTCTATGTCTCTCATCTGGCTGCTGCAGCGGACCTGCTGCCCGAGACTGAGCCGCATGCATACAGCTTGCTGCGATGGCGGTGGGTTGCAGTAGAGCAGCTTCTTGCATGCAGCAACAAAGACAGCATCTATATCAGCAAAGCGAACCTCTAGCCCCCTAAATAAACCCAAAGGCAGCTGCAGCAGCTCCCCTTCTGCTGCTTCAGCTATGTCAATAAGACAAGAACGAGAAGAAGAGATAATATCTCTGAGAAATATTAATAAACGTTTATCTAATGCAGCTGTTTCTGAGGTGTATGTACACTGCAACTCTGCTGGGGGTAATTCATTCTGCGGGAACATTATACTTATTGCCTGTCTCATCTCATTCATATCTAATACTTCTGGTGTTGCTTCAGTTAGAGCAGCAAAAGCTTCTGCTGCAGCACTCAGCAACACCTCGCATACCTTGACCTGCAGCGGCATGCTTGTTAGCCGCACCTCTTCATCTGCTGCATCCTGCTGCTGCTGCTGTACAGATGGTTGCTGCTGATGCAGCTGCTGCAGCTGCTGCTGCTGCAGTCGTTGCTGCAGTCGACGCAGCAGCTTCAGCTGTACATCCACTGTCTCTGTTAGTATCTTCATTGCTGCATGCAGCTCATCGAGTCTCTCTATACGGTCTACGCCCCCAAAGACCCAGCCCTCAGGCAGCACCACAGTTTGCTGCTGTTCTTGTTTTTTCTTCTGCTGCGACTGCGACTGC